CTTTCCAGTCATTACCCAGGCTCTGCTCCATGGCCTCTTTTCTGTTAATTCTCTCTCCTGATTACCTATAATGCCAATTTTCCTTCTCCCAATCCCCTATCAATATTTTAAGTCAGGTCCAGTGACTCCCTGTCAAACTACAGCCTCTGGTGTTCTCTTTCTCCCTTAGCCTCAACTATCCTCTATCTATCTATCCTTTCGGTGGCAACCAGAGGAGAGTTTGTAAAATGAACACCATTCTTGATCAATTCATTTAGTAGCTCTCCACTACCTACCAACCACTTAGCACAACCTATGAATTCTGGCCTCTGTCTATCCTCCTATCCTCAAGTCCTTATTGCTCAATCAAACGACTGATGCTCCTTGCGTCGAATCCCTTCAGCTCTCTCCTCTGAACTGGCCGTTTCTGTCTGAAATACCCTTTCTCACCCTTGTGCCGTCTTGCAAACGCATCACTCATCAAAGTAAGCGCCTTTGTATTTGGGAAGTTTGACCTCAGCTCAGTCTGATCCTTACATTCAGCCCCCACTTGGCAGTCACACATTCCTTCTCTCTGGTCCTCCAGGACCTTAAGTATATGTCAGCAATAGTAAGGGGCACGCTGTTCTGCGACAGCTTTGTATGCACGTTCTCAATTGCCAGGATGTGTAGACATAAAAGTAAGGCCTTCTCATTCCCATGCCACCAGGGCCAACACACGGCAGAGATGCGAGGCGCTGTGATGGAGATCTCTCTGATCTGACATCTGAGAAGTCGGGTAAGGCTGTCCTGAAGTTCAGGGAAAGAAGTGAGCCTGTCCGCACAGGTCCATCCCAGCAAGAGGGAGAAATTCTTTCCCCATCAGAGTGACACACAAGAGGGGGTGATGCAGGATGAGAGTGAGCTGGTGTATATGAACAGAGGAGAGGAACGGGTCTGACCGAAGCAGAAGACACTTGGAAAGCAAAGGGAGATAAAGATTCATAACCTGGGTGGAAACCACACTTGACAAGTCTTACAAGAGTATGAATAAGTTATGTTAAAAGTGTCATATTGCTGGTATAAAAAATAAAAATACATTTAGTGGCCTAAAACAACAAAGAGCCAGAAATTAGAAACTGTCCTCGATTGGCTGAAGGCAAGCGTGGCCTGCCGTGCTGAGAAGGCCCGTCTGGGCTCTTCAGTGAGATTCCATCTACAAAACAACAAACAAGAGTTGATAAAACACAGCCATTGTCCCCAAGGAAGAAAACCGTGCGTCTTTCACAAACACATCATCTTTGAGATCGTAGTAAGTACTATAGCACACACACACACACACCAGAGTAAAACAGAGACAGAGGCTTGGAGGTGTGATTCCGTTGGTAGAGCACCAGCCAAGGATCAAAACATCCGGTACCAATTTGAACCCCAGTCTTTCAACAAAAGAGAAAAAAGTAATAATGGGACTGGGAGGCAAGGCTCAGGTCATAAAGCACCAGACAAGGAGTGAGAGCAAGCCTCAGATACCAAGTTTGAGTCCTGGTCTTCACGAAAAAAAGAAAAGAAAAAGAAAGAAAGAATCAAACAAGACAGACCAAAAAATGTTATGTGAAGGTATTAGGGAAGATCTGAGCGATAACTGTAATGTAAACAGGCGAGGAAGAGGTAAGCACACCGCTCGATCCCATTCATAAGCACTAGTGTGGACTGTGTGTAGTGAGATAATAAAATCATGAAGCGATGCCACTCAAAGCAGCACAAGCCCAGACAGATCCAGAAACAACAAAGACTGTGGACAAACCAGTGAGCTGTGTCAATAAATACCCATTCCACATTGACCCTTTATTTGGCAGATGAAACAATTATCAAATGTACAAAAATTACTAATAGAGGAAGTCTGTCTTTCTAGTTCTATGGCTTCCATATTTTTGCAATAGAACTATTTGTCTCAATAAAATTGCATGTGGGATTCAAGGCACTGAACAAATACACAACCCTCTCTGCGGAAGGATTGGTCACCCTGACCAGTCCTGTTTTGCCTCTCCTCAAGACCCTCCTCCCACGTTGCTGTTTTGAGGTGACTCACCCGGGAGACCACATGGACACAGAATACAGTTAATAGAAAGTCTTTACTAGCCGGCCAGCAACTACACTGGGCAGTCGGGTGCTCAAACTGCAGCCTCAACGCCATCCTCAGGGCCCTCTGAAAGCAGAAAAATCCCACCTCCTTGTTTGCTCAGGGGTGCAACATCCATAACAGTTCTTGCCCGCAGGTGCAAGTCCAGCAGAAGCCAAGTTACAGAAGCCAAGCACAGCATTGAGCAAGGGCAGCATGGCCCATTTCTAGGACCAGTTTTCATGGCCACTTACTTAGACACATCACGGAATAGTGGATACATTCACCTTTAAATGTTAAACCATAAGGAATTAGTCTCATGGGTGGGGTGTAGTCCTTTATTAAAGATGGAGTCATAAAAGTAAAATGGAGTTACAGAAGAGTCAACTCTAAGACTGTGAGGTTTGATAAGCCCGATCACGTAACAATGTTAATTTCATGATAATGATACAAAGGGAAATCAGGTAAAGATATATAAGAACTCTACTAGTTTCGTAACTCCTTATTTCAAGCTAAAAAGTTAAAGGAAACATGATACTACCACGATCGCTCCCTTACATTCCTGGGTGCCATCCAGAACCATTACCTTAGGCCTTGTATAATTTTTTAAAGAAGACCTCCAGAAGCAGCTGGGTAGCTTGTTCTGGGTTTTAAGCACCCTCTGAACCAGATGATTATCTTCTATGACTCTTTTTTTTTTTTTTTTGTCATTTGTGGGGCCTGGGTGCTGTCCCTGAGCCTCTTTGTGCCCAAGGCTAGCACTCTACCACTTGCACCAGTTCTGGTTTTTGAATGGTTAATTGGATATAAGAATCTCATGAGGAGTTTTCTGCACAAGCTGGCTTTGAACTGTGATCCTCAAATCTCAGACTCCTGAGTAGCTAGGATTACAGGCATGAGCCTGGCTGTATTTTCTATGACTCTTTAATCCCTTCATACTCTAGGAGAAAAGCACTTCTTCAAGTAATAGAAAAATTATCGATAGAAAAATTATCTTTTACAACAGAAGATTTTGTGGTATACTTATAGGCCACAAAACTGACCTTTCTACAATGTCTTCATCTCTCTCCATAGCTCTTTTTCCATGTTTGAATCATTAAGAAAATTCTCCATTTCCAATTTTTTTTATCTTCATAAACTATGGTGTCCACATCACATCCCTATATTTAAAAAAAAAATAAACAAACAAATAACCAGGGAGGCAGACCGTGTTGTCGGGGAGGACACGTGAGGGAGGCAGAAGAATAGAACAAGAAAGGGTGGGTAATGTAGTCTCAATATTGCATGTGCATGCACGAAAATGGAGCGAGGTAAACTGAGGGGATGATGGGATGGAGAGAAAGCAGGGAGAATGATACAAAGGGGCTGGGACAGGCTGAGCAAACTGAGCCTGGTGAAGGCAACTCAGAAAAATGGCATTTAGAAACACAGAAGTACCATCTTCACTTCAAAGAGACACAACAGGATGCATCCCAGCATTCCTTCCTGAGGGATGTGTCTCTCACCCAAGCATTAACACTTGTCTGACAGAATGTATGCCTTCCTGAGAAAAATGCTTCCCCAAAACTTAAGCCGCCTCCCATCCCAAATGCAAGGAGCAGGTGGCTCCTTACCTCAAGGGCAAGGGTCTGTTTTGTGGCAGGATGCATGCTCACCTGGAGAGTGCCCAGACTACAGAAACTCAGGAAGTAACACCAGGAGCAAGTAGAGCAAAGGTAAAGCACCTAGCTTTGCATAACTTTGAAGCCAGACCCCTGCCTTTACCATAGAAACGTGCCCCAGCAGCCCAGAGCTGTGTGGGCCTCTCCCCGCCTCCCTGTGAGAACACCCACACTCTGTGAGGTGCTCCAGCCCCGCTGTGCTGTCTGCTTGTCTGCTCGCCTGCTTGCTTACTTACTCAATAAAGCACTGCCAAGTTTTCCTACCATCATGACTTGTCCAGAAACTCTTATTCTGCGGCTGAAGTCAAGGACTCTAAGTGAAGAGTCCCTTCTTTTGAAGGGAAACCTCACAAAGCCTCACCAGCATGCGGTGGCAGGGCAACATGAAGATTCATTTTACTCACACACTGACATGTGGAGTTGAAACCGCTGTGTACAACAACTTACGGATAATTTTTTAAAGAAATTAATAAAATAAGAACCAACCAATACCAAATACACCAGCTGAGGTGGAATAGTATCACTCAGATTGTGTGTACAATATTCCTGCTGCAGAGTATTGCCATAACAACCTCCCCACATTACCATATTGTGTTTTTTCTTACACATTTTTTCACACCATTTATGACAGCCACTATGCCAAGTGCCCTAGACATTTGCTCTTAACCAATGAACAGCCAGACTGCGAAATTCAAGTCTCTCAGCAAGTCTCAAAGTGCCAAAAATGCACTCTCACCAGGAGACACAGTCCCTGAGCCACAGAGTAGAAATTTGTGCTGATGATATTATTCAGCCCAAGGTAAACCAGACCTGTGACCCTGTCTGTGCCTGAAGAGCAAGCTAAGCGTGTTCACCGGCTCCCCAGGGGTCTGTCAGAGCCGATGAAGGCGCCGACCGCAGCGTCTAATGACAGGCTGTGTGGCCGTGCAGCTCGGCCATCACAGGCTGTGCAATGCCAGGTCCCTTAGCCAGGCCCCCGAAGCCCAGCACTGGGCTGCAGGTGACCTGCCAGGACCAGTAACTAGTGAAGGGCCTGAGTGTACGTTCACACAAGCATGCTGAGCACGGGTGCAGCTATCATCAACGTGGAGAAGCAGTTTCCCTAACACTGCAGGCTCAGGCTCAAGGCACCAAAATAGCACCAGAAAGATGATACCACATTGCTTTATTCCAGACATCTGACACTTGTGAAGTTGATGCCAAATTTCTTGTCACATATGTGTCTGGAAGCCTTCATACTAAGAGGCATTTCTTATCTCGTGACATTTCAGTGGGCTGCATGGAGTTAGACAAGCACTGAGCCGCCCTCAAAAAGGCACGAGACAAAAGACAAGTGTTCCTTTCAGGTGATCTCAGTGGTCCTGGGAGGCGGGGAGGAGGGAGTTGGGGGCGACATCTAACACAATCTTCAGCACATCTGTGATGCTCAGGACTGTCCAAACACTGCGTTTGCAGCTCCCAGTCAGCAACTGCAGATCTGCCTGGGCTCCCAAGGTCATCTGGAAACAGCATGCTCATCAGCCAAGTGAAGAAATGCCTCTGTGGGCAAAACAACAGCAAGGTCAAACATCCCTCAGGGACTGCGACGCCCAGGTGCTTTGTCTCTGGTAACACAGCTACCCTTTTCTACAATAATCAGGCTTCCAGGTGATGCTAGACTTTTGCAGTAGCGGATCATTTCTAGTGATTACCTTGCCTTCTGCTCAAGTCAGTGCCGTGCAGACCCTACCCTGTCCGCCGAGGAACAGGGTTTAGTGAGAGCAACTGCAGAACAGCGTCTTTTCAGAATAGGCTGGCTTTAAGCGCAAATCCTTGAGTCCTGCTCCAGACCTTTGAATGAGAACCTCCAATAAATAGGGTCTGAGAATCACATTTAAAACAAATGCTCCAGGTGATCTTTATTAACTTTTCATTCTCCCAGACAATTTTTACATGCAGTAAAGTTTTCAGAAACCCAATGGAATTTTCAAGTAAACTAAAACACAGTAAACTACTAGCATGTCAGAAGAATTTCTGGCCAAAGGCTTCTATTTAGAGGTCAGTGAATCGCCTACTGCAAACTCAGCTCGAAGCAAATACTCTGACTGTTTCCTTCTGGTCCTCCTGGCTCATGCTCCTATTTGTGAATAATAAGCACAAACATTGGCTACTTCTGGCATAAGCCACCTTGTATTATTTAACTTCATATAAGTTTTGTATTACCGCCATAATAGATGAGAACCAATTTGACACAAATGTGTTTGCTTCGATTCTGTAGGTTAGAAGCCCAATCTAGATCTCACTGGGCTAAAATCAAGACCAGTGATGGCCCTTCCAGAGGCTCTGGAGGAAATCTGTCTTCTTACCTCCTTCTGCATCCAGAGGCCACCCACTCTTTTTAGGCCCACAGCCCTCATTCTCGCCCTGAAAGCCAGCCAGGCTGCATCTCTGCCAGTCTTCACACACTCTCCTCTGCCACTCTTCCGTTTTAGGGACATTTGTGACTCTATCAGCTCTACCTGGCTGGTCTAGGACAGCTCTCCCATCTCAGGGTTGAACACATTTGCATGGTCCTTTTTGCCTTCACAGGTCCCTGGAATTAAAACATTGGCATCTCCTCTGACAACCTGGAAGGTGTTATGCTTTAATTTACTTGAAAATTCTGTTGGGCTTCTGAAAACTTTTCATCTTTATTTTTTAAATTTTTTTCCTTCAATTTATTTTTTTGTGAACATACTGTACAGAGGGGTTATAATTACATGGGCAGGTTAATGCATACATTTCTTATCAAGCATTGCAGCCTCCTCCTTTGTTTCCCCTTCCCATCCCTTCCCAGCATCCCTCTACCCCCCCCACAATCCTCCCCCCCCCCCCACCAAAGTTGTAAATTTCGACATAAGGACTTGTACATCCCATTGTTGCAATGGGTCCACTTGTATTCCCCTCCACAAATTATACCGACATCAAATACAGTGAAAGCATGGGTTATACCGTGAGGGAGGGACATACAAAGCAACAAAGAAATCATCTTAAACTTTTCATCTTTAATATGAAGGATATCTTCACTTGACTTTCACTAAAAGCACACCCTGAGACTAGGATTTGGGTAAGAAGCAAAGCAAGTAAAGAAGGAAAGCAAGTAAAGAAATTAATGAGCAGAATTTCATGATAAGCAATTGGACTTAATTAGAATTAACCATTTTAATTAATCATTTCCCCTAGAAACGATATAAAACATACCTCAGAACCATTCGGCAATGGGCATGTATCGACTGCTTGCTTTCACGTCTTAGTTAGAGTCGGCTCAGCTCTGGCACCTCCAGTGCCTCCTGCCTCAAGGCAGCATCTGCCGCAGCCACAGAACATCCCGGGTGCTTTGCTGCATCCAAACCGTTACAGTGTGGATCAGGGAGCCATGGGCATCAGGAGTGTCTGAAGCAAGGGCGTGCTTTTTGTTTTGTTTTGTTTTTTGAGGAAAATGTGACATTAAAAATCAAAGTTTTGCCAAGTTCCATGGCCTGCACCTATAATCCTAGATACTCAGGAGGCTGAGATCTGAGGATGGTGGTTTGAGGCCAGACCAGGTAGGGAGGTCTGTGAGACTTATCTCTAATAAACTAGGCAGAAAAAGCCAGAAGAGGTGCTGTGGCTCAAGTGGTAGAGCACTAGGCTTCAGCAAAAGAAGCTCAGAGACAGCTAGCTCCAGGTCCTGAGTTCAAGCTCTAGGGCCCAGCAAAAGTTAAAACTAAATAGTTTAAATGCTTGCACTCTGTAACAATTCTACCTTCAGAAATTTATGCTATTGGCATACTTGACTTACAAGTGATGACTATGCACAATATTTTAAAGAATTGAAAATAACTTAGATTTCCATCAATAGGACCTGTGTTAAATTATGGTCAATATAATGGAATACTGTTACAATTAAATATGAAAATATCAGCCCATATTTATTGATAGGAAAACCAGTCTCCAGCATACTGCTGTGTAGGAAAAAAGCAGGTTACAAATAGTAAGTACATTTTAAAACCAGTTATGTAGAATTATGTATGTTTGATAAATGGTATATGTATTCATAGCAGGATGACTCAAAGAATGTTTATCAAAACTCTAACAATAGTTATTTCTAAGAAGCAGGATTTATCATCATCTTCATGTTTCTCTTCTACAAAAATACAAAATTGCTTTTGTAATATAAGAGCAATGCATTATTTTTAATCAATATATACAATTACATTTTTGTCCTAAAAGCTTCTGTATAGTTTTAAAAATATCCATTTACTTATATGTAGTCCCCATTTTAAAGCTACACAAAAAAAATAAAAACAAACCTAAAACTATATGAAAGACCAAATGTTACACAAAATATTTGAGACATATTTTGAACACAGCAGGCAGCAGGCAGTCAATAAATATTTATTCCTTAATTGATTTTCACAAGTATGAAAATCAGTAAAACAACACACTGTCCAAACTGGGGCATGGGAAAATGTTTCTCAGACCTGATGATGAGCGCTGGACACACCTACCACACCAGAGATGCTATCAAGAGTCCCACCAGCCCTGGGTAAGTGAAATGCAGGGCAGGTGCAGCCTTGCAGGTTTAGCGCACAAATGAGCCTAGTGGGCCTGCCTCAGCCTATCAGAAATGAATTCCACAGTTCCCCTATCAGATGGAGGCCTTCCCCAAAAGTAGCATTATACTTGCAGTCTGCAAAGAGCAAATGGCTGCACAAGCTGTAGGGTGCCCGCCATATGTGAGAAGCCCAGAGCACTTCTCCCCAAACCCAACGCCCTTTTCCTATCTAAGGCAGAAACCCGCCCCTCTCCAGTTGCTCCTGGACTGTCCTTTGAGCATCAGGAACTAACTAATGAGCAGATGGAGAGAAAACAGAAAACAAGTCGGTAGATTTGTAAGCCAACAATCTAAGAGAGGTGGCAAGGGAGAAAGAAGGAAGCAAGACCAGAAAATCAGGTGGCACGGAAACCAAGGCGGAGGTGGAGAGCTGGGAGGGGCGGGCCCGAGCTTGAGGATCCCGAGGCCACAAGGCATCTGAGAGAACGGGGGTGAAACCAAGAATGCAGGGCCTAAGGTGAGTCTCTGTATGAGGAATGCATATCCCATCCTAATGTCCATGAATGGCTTAAATAAAGCCACTTCACAAACTAAAAGAAGAGCCCCAGCAAAGTGCACCCCATTCACACAGTTCATTGAGACACTACAAAAACGTCTAAAGAATCCTAGAAACAGTTTAGACATCAGATCATCTTTTTAAAAATTTCTTCTTGTTCAGAGACTGAGCCCTACATGTAGGCCTTTAATTATGTTTGATTATATGTGCTTAATTATGTGTATATACACACATATACATACCTATATTTTTAAATGGCCCTCTAGCCTGATACCAGTGGCTCACACCTGTAATCCTACCTACTCAGGAGGCTGAGATCTGAGAATCCCAGTTCAAAGCCAGCCCGGGCAGGAAATGTCTGTGAGACTCTTATGTCCACTTAACCACCCTCCAAAAAAGCTGGAAGTGCTGCTGTAGCCAGCTGTGGTAGAGCACTAGCCTTGAGCAAGGAGCTCTGAGTTAGTGCTCAGGCCCAGCCTTCAAAGCCCAGAACCCAAACAAAAAAAGTGGGGGCTGGGGAGCCTCTAGTCCAAACCTCTCACTCCTAAAGTGGGGAAATGAACATTGTCACAGGGTAGAAAGCTGGGGATTATGAAAGTCTGATCTAGGATCTTTCGAAATCCACTACCCCACCCACACCCAGCTCGTCCAGCTATTATTTATAGAAAGGATTTGAGGATACACATGATGAGAACACAGTAATTACACCCAGAGCCCAGTCTAGTTTTTCTGGATCATAGAAGAAATCAGTCAGATCAGCATAGACCCAGTCAGCTGCCCACTCCTGCCCAGCTAACACACGGAACCGCGGGCTCGCCCCGAGCCTAGAGCACACTCAGTCTTCAAACAGCAGTGTTGCTCTCACGCCTTTCTGAAGGACAAGAACCGTCATCTGTCCGGCACTCACCCACATAGCAACTTGGCAGGGCAGCCAGAGGCCTGAGATACTAAAATTTAGAAAGTTCACATTTTAAACAGGAGTTTTCAAATTGCTAGACGTCACTAATGTCGATAACACCCATCTGTGAATCGCATCCGAAATTTACAGTTAATTATGGTACTGAATTTCTGATGCTCCCCGGATGGCTCTGGCACCTGCCACGTGCCAGGCGCTGGTCTAGACGTTTTGCATATGGCATCTCTTGTAATCTCCACATAATTCTATTACATGGTATTAATCGCCTCGTTTCACATTTTAGAAAACCTGCAAACTTGATGGGAGCAGGCCAGTTAAGAGACAAGTTCTGATATCAAGGCAAGATCCTGAGATACCCATGCTAGAAATTTCCTGCCCATTGTCTTCCTGGTTAATTAGAAAGACAGCTTATTTCCAGAATTGAGCTAACATCATTTCCTCAGTTAAATGTCCTCTAATATGTCACCTTGATCAAGTTAATGGCTTCCTTCTCCTTGGTCCTCCTGCCTGTTTCTGACCTTCGTACATGCTCTGTCTCTGCATGTCTTTGTTTACATTCCTATCATTTCCTGTCTCTTTGTCATTCCCCTCCCCATCTCAGCACCCGGTACATACAGAAGGCACTGAACAATCATTGGTAAACTAGGTTATTTCCAAACCTGAGCTCCTTCAGAGCTACAAGTGAAGAGTCCTCTTCGGCTTATCTGGTCACTTAAATACTTCAATTATTTAATGTTATTACTTATAACATTTTCCTTTCCTATGTAGTGAATTAGGAAAGGAAAAACTACATGTCAAAAGAGATTGCCAGAAAGAAGGAAAGGAAGGAAGGAAGGAAAGCAGAGATTGCCTCCAGGAAATGAAGTCAATACTGAACGATTCTGAAAGTATGCTGAGAGGGTACAGTACTGAAAATCCGCAGATTCAGACTGAATTACATACTCTATCAGAAGACATGTTTTTCCTATAAAAGGTCAGATCCAGACAATACCTACTTGAAGTTTTTCTTCATCACATTATTTAATTCTACTGTTGTGTTGGGTGAAAGAATCAAATGGGCATGGTTGTGGTTCAAGAATTTTTTCCCCTGGGGCTGGGAAGGTGGCTCAGTGGTAGAGCGCTTGCCTTGCATGCCTGAGGCCCTGGGTTCGATTCCTCAGCACCACATAAGCAAAAAGAAAAAAGCCGGAAGTGGCGCTGTGGCTCAAGTGGTAGAGCGCTAGCCTTGAGCTGAAGAGCTGAGGGACAGCGCCCAGGCCCAGAGTTCAGGCCCCACGACCAGACCCAAAAAAAAAAAAAGAAGAATTTTTTCCCTACAAAGCAGGTTTAGATTTAGATTCAGTTCATGAGCCTTACCTTGCTGATGGACTCATAAGCACCAAGAGAACATGGAAATTATTAATTCCAGGGAAGATACAAAGTTGTTCAGAGAAGCAACTGTTACCTTGCTCTGATAAATGGGAAGAACATTACATAATCATAATCGTGCAATCACTGGATAGTGATGCTACTCAAACAGCAATATAGCTATACTAGGAGGGTGGAGAAATTGGAAGTTTGCAAAAACGTAACAAGTGCAGAGGAAATAATATCTACAAGGGAAACGTTAAGAATGAACCAAGGTGACTAACTCTTAGTCCCAAATGGTGGAAAGCCGTTGAGAGTACATGTACTTTACGGGAGAGTGAGAAACACGTGATGCAAGCCAGTGAGGCCACTGACACGCAGGAGAGGCGGAAAGTTACTACTGCGCATCTGCGGCAGCACCCAAGAGGGTTCACAAAAAAGAGAGGCAAAATTCCTCTCTCGTCACCACATGAAACAAAAAGCTCTGATCACCAGCTAAAGACGACACAGGCACTGACACTAAGCCCCAGCAGCACACTGAAGCTTCTGGAAGGAAGTCACTGAGGCAGGTAAGGCTTTCCAAGAGAAACCAGCTGATAAAGGCATATTGCTCCCATCAGACACGGAGCCAATGCATGGACAGGAGTCAGTGACAAGGACTGTGTCTAGCAGTGGATTCTCCAGGTCACGTGTAGCAAAGGAACAGAATCCTGGCCCAAACTCTTCTCCAATCCATGCAAACTGGGGGTGTTTACCAGCTTTAAGGACTATTAAAAGCTCTAAAGGGCTTCTACCTTCTTCTGATAAGTCAGGTTTGGTCATTCTTACCTTTGACATTGTTCTAAGTCAATGAATACCTTTCAGAGATTGTTACACTGCAATATATAATAAAAAATCATTTCTTGAAATATTCCTTTGAGGGTTTTTGTTGTTTTTGCCAGTCCTGGGGCTTGAACGCAGGACTGGGCGCTGTCCCTGAGCTCTTTTGCTCAAGGCCAG